ATAATAAATAATTTAACTTAACTAAGGATAGGGAGATACAAAAAGTATATTTATTTTTCAATGTGATATCAGTAAAAACAATTAACCGATTAACAATTCTGCAAATTAGTAAATAACAGCTCTGTTTATTGCTTAATCTACTTATTCATTTTTTTTGTTTGAAGTTACCGTGGAATCAAAAAAGAAATCATCTAGTGTTCAACCCCGTAAGCGCAAACCTGCGAAAGTTTAAATTAATTATCGGGCGTTATTGATGAAAAATTGCGAGCTGATTTAGTTGAAACGGAACTTTTAAAAAATATAAACAAAATATAAAAAATGGGGAGTCAGTGCTTAGAAAATGACTTGTTTATTCCGAGAAATTGAATTGTAACTTTTGCTTTTGTTGCAAATGTTTTGCATTTGTTGAACTTTGAATGTTGAAGACATGCGTGGAACAAATATGAAAAATGGAAGCAAAATTTACTTTGGAACAAAAATTTTAAGGCTTGTTTTATATCAAGTGTTGTCCATACTCTAATAATTATTAACTATACAGAAATAATACATATCAAATATAATAAGAAATGTGTAATTTCTTTGCATTTTTTACTGATTTTTGAACAATTCTTCTAAAATACGTTAAAAATTAATCTTTAAGACAACAAGCTGATACTCTGAATATGACGGCTCTTACGACATCAATAAGAAGAAGTTTACGACGCAATTTTGGATATTGTAAATGATGAAAAATTAAATTAAATTAAAATTTAAAAAATCCAACATGAAATACGAGTGTTATGTTTGAAAATTAAATACTAGTTTTTTTTAAATATTAATATTGCACATACATTAAAAATAATATATATTAGGTTGTCAAATATCTCCTTTCCGCCTTAATGTACTATAAACCAATAGCAAAAAAGCGGAAGGGAGATATTTGACAACCTTTGATAACAACCCCCGAATCGCCTTGATTTTCTAAATAAATTTAAAATCAATATATTTTTTACGCTTTCAGATTATATCTATTTTTTTGTGCACCAAATCCAGCATAATTAAAAATTAATTAATTTATTTCACTTAATATTTTTGTTAAATTAAAGTTATAGAATTTAAGAAATGCATTTCAGAAATAGTATTTATTATTTTGATATCAAGATCTTTATATCAAAATGCATTTCTTAAATTCTATAACTTTAATCTAACAAAAATATTAATTCTTTTGCTATGGTAGTCGAACTTACATCCTTAACCAATTTACTACATATTGAATATTACTAAAATGTGAAATTATGACAGGGATTGTTTTATTTATTGATATCGATAATAATAAATAGATTTAAAATCAATATATTTTATACCCTTATAGATTATATGTAATTTTTTGTGTACTAAATCCAGAATAATTAAAAATTAATTTTTAAAAAATATGTAAATATTTATATAATTTTAATGATAAACTGTTAAAACGGTGAAAATTAATAGGGGGGGGGGATGCTAGAAAAAAAGTTGCATGCGGGCGCTAAGGACCCCAGGACCGGCCCTGTATATTATATATATATATATATATATATATATATATATATAAATCTTAAAAAATATTTCCTTTACCTCAGGTGTCTCATTTTCTCCCAGCATGGAATACGCCAACAGGGAATGCAATAGAAAATGTGGCAAAAAACGTGCATTTATTGTCTGCGAAATAATAAAAAATGATATTTGTACTGGATATTATGACATGGAAATACCAGAGGATGATACAGACACCAGTGGTGATGACAGTGAAAATGTTTATGTGAAATACTACGATGATGAATTCTTACCAAAATACTTAATAGAATATTATGATCCTTATGCTTACAAACCCAGATGGCGAAGCTATTGGTGATGTTAAAAAATTTACGGTAAAAAAACTTTATTAATCAGATTTTTTTGTCAAACTTTATTATCAGATAATTTAACAAAGCTTTTTTTTAACCAGAACAATCTTAACATATCACAATGTAAACCAATTTGCATTTGCACTTTTGTATAAATCCAATTTGTTTCCCATTTAATTTTATTTCCATTTTTACACTCGTGTTGTAAAACTAAATTTAACATATAGATTTTTAACATTTTTTTTAAATGTAATTAATTTTTATAGCAAATTTATAAATTAACGTTCCTCAAATAAATGTTACCACTTAGTCTTAAGTCTTGTTATGAAATTGACTGATTTTATTTTATAATATTAGGTTGTCAAATATCTCCCTTCCGCTTTTTTGCTCTTGGTTATACATTTACAAAAAAGGAATTAATTTGAAGACAGTATTTAAGTATTAAGAGAGTTTATAAACTGTTAAATACTATTTTATATTTTAGTTTATAAAAATTAATTGTTATTAAGACATTTTATTAGTAATTAAGTGTATAAACTAAATACCTGTTTTTTTTGTTATTTTAATAAAATGAAAATTTATTCAGGCATTTTTATTAAGTGATATATAAATGTGTTGTAAAATTTGTCTAATAATACTGTCTATATCAATTATTTTATTATTATTTCTACTTATTGCTTCATATTTTTGAAAAATTTTGTAACCATTTTTGAAAAAAAAAACTAGTGATTTACCTTTTTTACTTAACAAAAAGTTTTATTTTATTCCATATTTGATCTATCAATTTTCTTCATATTTAAATTTTAAGGAAATCGGAATTTCTGTCGAAAAAATGAAGATAAATTAAAATTTAAACTGAATTTAAAAAATGCAATCGGACATTTTTGAACATCACATTCTGTTTTGCAATTTTTAAATAACTTTTCTTTGAGTCATAGATTTATTAATATGAAAAAATATTTTGTACTAATTTTATTCATTTACTAAAGTATTGAATTATTTTTATTAATTTTATTATAATAATACTATCTATATCAATAATTTTATTAACTTCCCGTAGGGTAAGTTATAGTAATCGCAAAAAATCGAAAATAATTTTTTTATACATCTTTACGTTTCAGAGGTTTCTGAACATTTTGGCATACTTTAGAAAAAATGGATGTATTTGTGTGTGCGTGTGAGCGTGTGTACGGATACAAATTTTCGTCGACGATTTTGAAAACACCGATCAACCAATTTAAATAATTCAAAAAACATTCGATTTGTATTGATAAGGAGACGTGCTGATTAGTTTTTGGCAAAGGCAGGTCTAGCCGTTCCGAAGATACGGCCAAAAACGATAACTCAGTTTTTAAGAGAACGGAGCGTCCGATTTGAATAATTCAAAAAACATTTTACTTGCACTAACAAGATGAAGAACTGATTTTCATGAAGGCAGGTCTAGCGGTTTTGGAGATCTAACGAAAAAAGTAAAAAAAAATGCCATTTGGCGGTCAAAAATGATCATTAGACATATGCATATCAAATTATCATATATTTTACAGAGATTTTAACAATAAGTATAAATTTTGTTCACATTCCTATGGGTTCCGTACCAGTGTTCATCCGTTAGACGGCGACGCGGCGCTTACGCGCTTCGATACTTCTCTCTATGCAGTTAAAGCAGTACGATTGCTTTAAAAAGAAGTTCAGAATTACCAAAATTTCAAAATAATTTTTTCTTCAAAAAGTCTTTTTTTTTCAAAGAAAAAGTGATTTTTTGTCAAAAATTTATAGTTTCTCAAAAATCTAATTTTTTCAGAGTAATTTTTTTTCAAAAATGTTAATCTTTTTGAAAAAAAAAATTTTTGGTACAGGAAGTATCAGCAATATGCCCACTACTTGGTTATAATCAAGTGTCTTAATTATAAAATATTTTGTTTGTTTTACATACAACTTATTTTTCATTCTAATGAAAAATTCTCTAAATTTCAAGCCTCATAACATTTAGATCATTAAATTCCTGTAGAGGGAGGTTATTTTAATCTTCCAAAAATCTTCCGGGTACGGGAAGTTCCAGCAATTTGCACTAAGGCACGATGCCATACACCACTTGTTATAGATTCCGTTGTAGTGAAATTTTTATCATTTATGACAAAATTTTTGTTTTGACTAAAATTTATTTGATGCATAGAATTTAAAGTTTATTTTTCCGTCGACTGTCTGACTGAGATATGAAAATAATGTATATATATAAATAAAAAAAAATAAAAAAATTGTCTGATATAATTAAATAGTTATACTATATTATTCATATATATGTAATTGAAATATTTATATAGTCATTAATTAAGTAATTAGAAGATTTTTTAGTAAATGTAGAACTAAAATTTACAGATTGCATTTTGTGATGACTAAAAGAATATCAAATGCAAAAGAAATAAATTTAAACTATATGATGTTATATAATGTATCATTTTTCATATATAGCTGTTATATGAATGTTATTCAACAGATATCATATTTATTCAGGGGATTTCTTCAACTTTATCATTCTAATGTTTTTGTATTACTATTTAGACAAATGAATCATAAACTGTAAATTGCAAAGTTTCGAGTCGAGAACACTTGTAGTTATCACATTTATTACGAATATTTAACTAGTGGTGTATGGCATAGTGCCTTAAGGCAAATTGCTGGAACTTTCCCTACCCTAACGAAATGTTCGAGGAATATTAAATGTTTTCAAATAGATTATTATAAATACTGTAAAATATGAGTAACATAAGCCATATTTTAATTTCTTGTTTTAGTGTTTTCTTATTTTTAAATTGATTGTATAAAAATTGTCGAATAGGTACTTGAAACAAATAAAATATTATTCATAAGTTAGTTATACTCTATCTCTATACTGATTTGATTACAAGAATGTTGGAGAATCGCTGATTTAGGCTTCGGGGAAAAACTGCTCTCCGAACAATTCTCTTTATATTATCGCAAGTTGACTTGAAATTATCGCATTTTAGTTAGTCATTCTTAAGTCGTCGTTTAGTGCATTACGATATTAAAATAAATTAATAAAAAACATATAGTTTATTTAAATAATAAATTTAAAAAATATTGTGAGACAAACAGGAAATATCGAGTGCAAATTGTGATTACTAGTTGGAGATTTATTAGTGCTAAGTCGGTTTAGTGACTCTCTAAATTAATAAAATGAGGTACGTAATGAAATATTTTATTCTTTGATATTTATTTGTACTTGAATTGTTTTTCTTATAACACACTATAAAATTACAATTGATCTGATTATTATTATTATTATTAAAAATTCATTCTATGCTTCGCTTCAAAAATTATAAGTATATCGTCTTTAAAATATATATATATATATATATATATATATATATATATATGAATGTAAACCTTATATAAAATGTAAAAGTTTGTGTAAATTTTTGAAGAAAAAAATTAAATATTTTTTAAGTTATCGTCGATCTCCAACGGCGCGACAAAAAAGGCACTTCACTGCTGCAGTGATTCCGACCTTCTACTCGGATAAAATTTAAAAAAAAAATCTTGTTAAACTAGATAATATTGTCTGTAAAATGAACTACGATGAAGAAAAAAAAATCAAAAATGACAAAATGACGGCGTTTTTTTGAAAAAAAGTCGAATTTTACCCAAAATTTTGGTCGTTTTTGGACTGCCAAAATTCTATTTTTGATCCGATCAAAAAATCGATAGTTCATTTTACGGAGAACTATAATTATATAGAACATGTAAAAAAATTTGATAGTGATCGGATCATTTGTTTTTGAGTAATCGCTGCAGCAAATTCGGAAAATGCTGTTTCGAGAAAAACGCGTTTAAAGATTAAATAATCGTTATACATATACTATATATATACTCTTTAAATGGCTGTGACTCAAAAACTATTTAAGATATCGATTTAAAATTTAGGTATGTTATTTTTAAAGGTATAACCTATCGAAATATGGAAAAATTGAAAATTCCATTTTTTAAAAAATTTCACACTAGTTGTGCCCCTTAATATTATTAAGAATTGTTCAAACCTAATACTTGTTTGAATTCTGAGGTCAAATTAATTTATTTTAATTTTTTACAAAATACATTTTTTTTAATTCGAAAAACTATTTATTTTTATCAAAAATTGTCCAGCTCTATTTTTTTAAAATTATAGAATCAATTGACATATTTTTGATTTTTTTAAGAATATGAATATGCCTGTTACTCTAAAAAACAATTTATTTTTATTGAAGGTCGTCCAACCCCAACACATTTTTTTCAATTTTGAGGTCATTTTTTTATTTTATTATTTTTAATGCGGAATTGAAAAATACATATAACTTTTTCTACTTCAAAATACTGTTTATTTTTATGAAGAGTTGTCGACACTTAGATTTATTTAAAATTTTGGAATGTATTTTCTTTTAATTAACTTCCCGACGGAGAAGTTTGTTTTCATAAAAAAATCCGATTCGCTAATTTTATGTTTTCTCGACGTTTCAAGCCATTCTGAATCGAATGAGACCAAATTTGGAAAAAGTGTGTGTGTGTACGTGTGTGTGAACAGATTTTTTGCCGTAAATCGACGTTTTCTTAAAAACGGCTTGCCCGATTTCAAAAGTTTAAAAGCCACTCGATGTATATCGATGAAGAATATTGTTAGGCAGTTTTGTGCGACGATCAGCCAAGCCGTTTCTTTATAAATCGCAGAAAAGTGAAAAATTTTTCGCCTACATTTTAGCCCGCAATTCTGAATCGATTTTGAAAATTCAAAAACCGTTCGAAAGATATTGGTTGGAAATCGTGCTGATTAGTTTTTGGCAAAGATCGGCCGGGCCGTTTTCTTGTTTTTTTTTCGACGATTTTTATGATTTTTTTTTCGACTGTAGATACCATAGTCTTATAGATCATACTAAAATATTACGGCCCTACGACAAGTAGTTTAATTTTAAAAATCTTCCAAAATTTGCAAAAATTAGTATCGTTTTTTTGACATTTGTCAAATTAGACTTTTGATCGACGTTTTCTCAAAAACGCCTGAACCGTTTTCAGATATTTAAAAGCCATTTGATGTGTCTCCATGAGGACTATCGTTTATCAGTTTTGCGCTACGATCTGCCGAGCCGCTTTTTCTGCAATTTGAAAAAAAGTGTTATACTTTTCGTCCACATTTAAGCTCATACTACCGAACCGATTTTAAAAAATCAAAAACTGTTCGAAAGATATTAGTTGGAAATGATACTGATTAGTTTTAGGTGAAAATCTACCGAGCCGTTTTTTTTGTAATTAACTGTTGAAAAAAAAAATAAGCCGATTTTCATGGATCTTTCTTGGCGATATATATCGTGGTCTTATAGAACTTACTGAATTATTACGGCCTCACGACATGTAGTTTAATTTTAAAAATTCATCAAAGTTTGAGAAAATGAGTAGTTTATTTTGACGTTTGTTAAAATGAAAATTAGACGATTTACTTGATATAACGGTAGAGTACTTGGTCTTAATGAACATACTAAACAATTAAAGTTCTACAATAAACTGGCTTAATTATAAAAATTATTGATTTTTAAAAATTTGCTTTTAGAAAATGCTCCGAGTTAACGTGTTTGTTCGTTTTTAATAATGCGTAATAAATCCACTCGGAATACTTTTAATCACTCATAAATTAATTTATTGGTAATTGATTAAGTCGATTATTTAAACATATCGGGAAGTTCATGTAACTTGCCTCAAGGCTAAATATCAATACCAAGTAATTTTAATTTTCATAATCCGTAATTGAAAAGTGCATACAACTTTACAATTTCGCTCTCCTTTCACAAATCTCTTTCATATATAATATATATATATATATATATATATATATATATATATATATAATATTTTCTATTTCAGTTTATTAAGTGACTTGAGATCCAAAATGCCTTCGGGATGGTGTCATATTAATTTAAATCAGCAATATGAAAAACGACAACTTAGTTCTTATAATTCCGAATATAAACGTTTGTACAACGAGTTCAAAAAAGCATTTAGCAGAAAAGGATTAGATAGTGTTAAAATCTATGAAGTTATGAACCCATTTATTTATGGAAGATATAAATTAAGACAGGAAGAAATCAAAAATGTGAAAGGTTCCTGTGGGACACAGGTAATTAATTTATGGAAAAGTTTTTAATAATTTTTCTAATATATTTGCATTAAAAAAACTCTATTCCCATAGGAGTTGTATCATGCAACAAGTACAGACAATGTGGATTCGATATTAAGCAACAATTTGGATTGGCGTAGAGTGGTACGATCGAAATTTGGCCAAGGTAAAGTAACTAGGTGTAGGTGGCAATATGCCTTAAGGCAAGTTTCTAATAATTTTTTCCTTTCATTCAGGTGTCTCATTTTCTCCCAGCATGAAATATGCTAACAAAGAATGCAATAGAAACTGTGGCGAAAATCGTACATTTGTGTCTGCGATATAATAAAAAATAGAGTTTGTACTGGACATTCTAATATGACAATGACAATAAATGGAACAGACACCAGTTGTGGTGGCAGAGGAAATGTTTTTGTAAAATACTACGATGATGAATTTTATCCGAAATATTTAGTCGAATATGTAAATCCCGATCCTTTTATACCTAGAGGACGTCATGCATATCACTATGATGACTACTCTGTACTAGATAAACTATACATACTAGGTTTACTAGATGATTCTGATTATGATTCTGATTGAAGTGATAGAAATTCTTCATCAAAATTCATGTTATGAAGCGATATGAAATAAAGAACATGAATATAATCAGACAAATAATCTAACTTTTATGATTATTTGCTAAGTAAGTATGTAATAATTTTTAAATTAACGCTCCTGAAATAATGGTACTTAGTAGTCATAAGTCTACTGTAAAATAAGTTACAAACATCAATTTTATTCACTCATAAATATAAAATATAAAAGTAGTTTAATATGAAATGTACTTAAAAAAATAATTATGGTATAAGTTTAATGCAGTATTTTAGTTTAAGTTGGGAACTATGAACTCTTTATACAATTAATAAATATCTAAAAGAAATGTATTTTCAAATTATATATAATATATATAATTATAATACGTAATAAGTAATATTTATCCACATTGCTTCATATTTTTAAAAAATTTGTAGCCATTTTTGAAAAACAAACTAGTGAGTTACCTTTTTTCGCTTTAAAAAAAAACGTTTATACAATTAATAAATATCCAAAAGAAATGTATTTTTAAATTATATATAATATATATAATTATAATAAGTAATAAGTAATATTTCTCCTCATTGCTTCATATTTTTAAAAAAATTGTAGCCATTTTTGATAAAAAAAACTAGTGATTACCTTTTCCAGTTTTTGAAAAAACCTTCATTTTTTTCATATTTGATCTATCAATTTTCTTCATATTTAAATTTTGAAGATTGATTTTTTGTTGTTACTTGAAAATAAGCAAATCGAAACTTCTGGCAAAAAAATAATAATTTTAAAATGATTAAAAAATTATAAAATGCTGTAAAAAATTTCAAAAAATGCATCGGATATTTTTAAACATCACATACAATTTTTGCAATTTTTAAAATAGTATTGTATACTGTTGAGTCATAGATTTAATAAAATAATAAATTATTTTGTATTAACTCATTTAGTATTTATTTACTAAAGTATTAAACTATTTTTTCTAATAAGACTATGTATATCAATTATTTTTTTATTATTTCTTTTTATTGCAATCATTCATATTTTTGAAAAATTGTGTAACCACTTTAAAAAATAACTAGTGATTTACTTATTTCTACTTTTTAAAAATATCAATTTTTTTAATATTATTCAATTTTTGATGATTTATTTATTCCAAAACTTCCACAAAAATTTACCATAAAAACTTAGTAATTGGCTTGAGACATAATTTTAATTTATTAGTATTTATTCATTACAAAAAAAAACACATTTTGACCGATAGATAAAAATTAATCATCACTAAATTTACTAAAAGTTTTTGAATTTTCGAAATCTGTTAAAGTTTTTGGCTAAAAAAATTTCCACGCGTATTTTTTTAGCACATATACATTCACATATTTTATTATTGATTCAGAATGACTTGAAACGTCGAGAGAATACTTCCTAGGATTTTCTGGCAAAAACAAACTATTTCTTCGGGAATTTTTAAAAAATTGCAAAATTACAAACAACTGTAACAGCAAATATTTTTCAATAACAATATAACAAATATATGGTATTTTTTTTTTAAGTTTGAAGGTCATTTAAAGGTCAAATTTTGACTCATATGAATTTTCATACTCTATCGAATTTTGGTGTCAAGCGATTCAGAATGGCTTGAAACGTCGAGAAAACACTTACCAAGGATTTTCAGGTACATGTATTTTTTTTTAAGTTTGAAGTTCATTTAAAGGTTAAATTTCTCATACTATATCCAATTTTGGAGTCAAACGATTCAGAATGACTCGAGAAAAGACTTTCCAAATATTTTTTGGCAAAACAAACTTTTAGTTCAGAAAAATAAAAAAAGAATTACATAATACTACTGAGAAAAATGTGCCTACTCAAACAGTTTAAGTTGTTTAAGAACTAAATATTCTCCAAAAAAAATGACAAATATTTGCAAAATTCAATTTTCGAAGTAAAACTTCTTTAGGCGCGTAATTCCGTACAAATGCAACGGAAGTGAGTTACGGCAGATAAGACTCGATAAGCTAAGAGTCGAGTGCCAATGATTCGTCATTCGCTCTCGATGATATCATTCCTATACGAGTCGATTGTGATTAGTCGTAGTGTATGTGAATAGAGATCTGTCGTTGTATGCGTATCGGCATCAACGTTGTATGCGTATCGATATTAACAAGAAAATCGGCATATATAAATAAACATTTTAAATTTACATCGTAGTACAAATCTTGATTTAATTAAAAATGCCTGAATCGGAAGATTATTTTACCCTGTTCCTTGAAAATAATAAAACAAATTAAATATTTGGGATGTGTACTAAACGCAAGTTTATTGATTAGAAATTATTTCTTTATTATTCGTAGTTTCTATAAATCTTTGAAGTTATTGAAATGAAAAATATTTTTAGGCAAGACAGATATTACAGCTGTTCAAAGAATGAGAGTATATCGCCAGCAAAAAAGTAAAAAAATATACAAGCAGTCAATGAATGTATGTTAATTTTATATACATGAAGTTCTTCAAACACAATTATTACATGATGAGTGAAGTTGGGAAAATAATATTTGTTTAGGCGTTGTTTAACATAATCCACTGTGTGAACAAATATTGTAGAAGTTATTAATCAGCAATCACTTCATTTCTCTAATGAAGGTTCATTTCTGAATGCTAATTACAATGACAAACCGATCATGTCATATTTGAAGTATGACTTTAATTACATTATTGTTTTTAAATATCATACATATTTTTAATGCTAATATAAATATATAATTTATAATTTATCATTATATAAATGTGTATAATGAATGACGACACTAATAAATGTGTGCATCACGAGTGTTACCATATTACTAATGAACATTATTCAAAATTGTTATACGATGTATTTATTTTTACTTAAATGCCATCTTGTACAGTTGCAAATAAGTTTTACTTCAATCGCGTGTGATCCTTACGCGCACTCTTTTTTGTAACCAAATAATTCATTATACCAAAGCTTCTAAAATATTTACAATATCTTGTTTTGAGAAATAATTTCCATCTCCATCAGATGGGAGCTTTTCTTCTCGTCCTTGTCATAAAGCTCAGAAGAAGCAATTCAATTAAAATTAAGTTTTGAATTAATTAAATTGGAAGCGTATGTTATTCTTGAATAAACATGGATTCATTCAAACATTGTTCGAAATTTCGAGAACTTTGTACTTATCCATAAGAAACCATCAGGAATTGTATAAGGGAAACAGATATATTTATAAACTAGTGGGGCGCATGGCATCGTGCCTTAAGGCAAATTGCTGGAACTTCCAGTAGCGTAAATCAGCATTCGAAGAATAAAAAAAATCAGTCAACAAAAATGTGTATGAATAAATATTATAAAAACTAGAATTTTCATTATTTGTTCTTTGTAGACAAAGTGTGAAAACTTATTAGATTAGACGACATTGTTTGTATATGTTTGAATGAAATATATATTATATAAATATTATCTAATTAAGCGGACTTATTGTTAAAATGAACATATTTTATTTCAAATGCATCAATTTTTCGTTCGCGAAATATATGCACTGAGTTAACAATTTTAAATAGTTCATGTAGTATAAATTATACAAACATAAAAAAGTATTAAACAAAATTTTAAAAAAATATTACACGTAGGATTCGAACCAGATCAAAATTTCTAAAATATTTCAAAATACAAAAAAAAAACATTTTTTAAAAATTCAAATTTTAAAGTTCTTTTAAATCTAATTTTTCAAAACAATATGTATCTTTTTTAAAAAAAAATAATTTTTGGTACGGAATGTGCCACTAGTTCATTTCTAAATTTTGTTTTTTTTTTGAATATCGAAAATAATTCAGATATTAATTTTAATTCTATATAAATAAAATCAAAGAAATGTAATTTTAGGTTAAAAATTCAAAAAAAATACCCTAACTAAGCACAGTCTAAGTGATAACCTGGTACAAATTTCTACGCAAGTGCGTTTAGACTGTTCCTGTACTGGAGCACTTTTCCAATTTTAATTATAAAAAAAATTGTCGTTTTGGGGTTAAAAATTTAAAAAATCACCCAAGTAACAACCTGAGTCGCACAAAATTATTTGCAAATGCACTTTGATAACTTGCATTATATGGATTTAAGACATTTTTTTCACTTTTCTTTCAAATAACTTTTTATTTTCTTAACGAACATTTTTTTTTAAATTAATGAACACTATAATGAGGTAAAAATGGTTTTATACATCTGTATAGAAAATTTATGCATAATTCGTAGTTTAAATGCGGACTTTGGTATTTTTATAATTCGCATTATATGGATTTAGAACATTTTAACACTTTTCTTTGAATAACTTTTGATTTTTTTCCTTGGCATTAAAATGTTTTAACATTAGTTAAAAGTAAATAAAATATATAAAATTCTTCTGAAATCAGTTTAACACATTTGCATAGAAAATTTTTGTAAAATTCATAGTTGAAACGCAGACTTTAGTATTTTGATAATTTGCTATATATGGCATTAAAATCTCTTGTATTTTTGGTGACGTAAAATTAAATTACAAAAATCTTGTACTTAAATTTACAGCAAAAACGCAAATATCTTTCATAACAAATATTGATATAATTTGTAAAAACATACAAAGAATTTTTGATTGTCTATTATAAATAAACACTTGAACAAAATAGAAATGTATATCCTTTGTACAAAGTTTGAAGATTTATTTCCTCGTCTCTCATCAAATATTATTTATTACCTCTCCAGAACAA